AGATCGACAGCGTCATTACAGCGGCAGCAAGGATCGTTCTACCTGTCTGGAGGACAACGCCAACCAGTAGCCTCCTCCGAGACGCCGGCTTACCGTCAGCCAAAGTCGCCTTAGAAGGCGTCCGTTTACGGGCCGCAGTCCGACTACAGAGGATTGATCGCCGACACCCGCTAGTCGCGCGGCTCTCCCAGCAGGGACAGCAACAGACGAGACTACAACGGACGGCTGAACTTCTGCCAAGATGCGGAAGACCAACGTTCCTCCAATCACAGTACCTGCCAAGCTCACAGGATCAGATAGTAGTTCAATGCAAAGAAGAGGCTGCGAAAGCTTTCGAGCGCTGGCTAAAGACAGTACCGGAAAGCCATATGATCGTCTTCTCGGACGGCTCCAGGGCGACGAACGGAGCCGTGGGGTACGGCTTCGTCATCTACCGAGACTCCAAACGCATAGCGCAAGGGTGCGGCCGACTCGGACTAGCAGAAGTGTTCGACGCCGAGGTCGAAGGGGCGCGAACCGGCCTCAGAAGGGCTCTGCTCACCAATCGCGGTCATCCAATCCACATATGTATCGACAACACCAGCGTTATACAAGGCATCCGCGGCAAGGCGCCGGACTCGTCACAAGACGCGTTCCTCGAAATCCAAGAAGCGGCCAGGATATTTGATATACGGACGCACTGGTCCCCGGGACACCAGGGCATCGAAGGAAACGAGGCCGCGGACCGGCTGGCCAAAGAAGGAACGACACTGCCGGCGCGGATGGGTCAAATGGCAACACTAGCGGGCATCAAGCGGCTTGCAAGGGAAAAATTACAAAGCCAGCACAGGAGATGGTGGTATAAAGAGCGAAGGCCGCGGTACGCGGACTTGGGGCTTGAGGCAGCTCTGTCCAGCCCTCCTGAACTGGCCTTGCCGCGGGCTACGTTACATCACCTGCTGGCGGCACGATCGGGTCACGGGGACTTCGAGCAATATCACCGACGTTTCAACCACGACGACGCTCTAATGATGTGCTCTTGTGGAGAGGCGAAAGACGTGGACCACCTGGTCTACTGTCGACTAACGCTGGCGAGGAGGCAACGGTGGCCGACCCTCCACTCTCGCAGTATGCCCGAGCCCATAGGTCCTATGGGATCTCTCGAGGCCTACTTCAAGAGATTAATCACCGACCCACGAGGCTTCGAGGCCTTTCTCCGCGTGACGGACTTCTTCCAGAAGATCTGTCTGCGGTAGCAGCATCCACACCTAGGTAGATGTGAGTGCGGACTACAAAGAACCTCCCGATTCCAAGGGACGATTTGGGAAAGAATGAAACTGGGGCACCAGCGGGAACCGGGGACAGACAGAACGCGTAGTGGCCACAAGGCATGATTTGGAGGACGATGTAAAGAGACGACGTACTGTAGAGTAGGTAGCCTTGGCTCACGGCCCTCCACGCCATATACCCTTCGGGAGGTCTGCGGTAAGGGCTCTAGCCCGGCCGCCACGGCGTTAAATACAACAACAACAAAACAACATAGAAATCGGTCGAAGCGGAGATCGACTCCCACTCATCGAGAAGAGTCATGGTACTCTGACACTTCTCTCGAATAACCGCAAGACAGTCAGTGCCCAAGGGCAGCCTCTGAGGGATCTCACGACCCTCAGCAACCCCAGACTTGGTCAGAACATCCACGACCACGCGTGCACCCTTGATCGGATCACCAGGCTGGTTGTTATCGACGGTTTCCAGCACCTTTCTGACTTGGCCCGCTGCGCTATCGATATACGCATCAACAGACTGCTCAACCTTGATGCGTGCACCGGGGTTCAGGAAACCGGTGCGGAAGTAACCCGGCTCAAGGATGCAGACGTCGATGCCGAAGGGCTTCAGCTCGTCGTGGAAGCCTTCGGTTAGCAGGCTGACGGCAGCTTTGGTGGAGCAGTACATGGCAAAGGCCGGGCCGCTCTTCCAGCTGCCGAGACTGCCGATGTTGACGACGGCACCGAAGCCCTGGTCGCGGAGGTGGGGGGCCACTGCGCGGGAGACCTTGAGAGTGCCGAGGACATTGGTGTTGTACTGATCAAAGACTTCCTTGGCGCTGGCTTCCTCGATGGTGCCTTCGAGGATGTAGCCGGCTGAGTTGATGACGTGGGTCACTTTGCCGTGGAGGGCGAAGGCCTTGTTGACGGTCTCTGTGATTGTGGCCTCGTCGGCGGTGACGTCCAGGGGAAGAAGATCGGCGCCAGCGGAGGCCAGGTCATTTAGCTTGGCTGGGTTGCGGGCGGTTGCGATGACGCGGTGGCCACGCGAGAGAGCTTCTTTAGCAATGGCGAGGCCGAATCCTGAGGAGGCGCCAGTGATGAACCAGACTGGAGAATTCATTGTGAAGTCGAAGTATCTCGGTTAGTGTAGTATTGCAGGGGATTTGTTTGAGTAGCAAAAGTTATGAAGACTTATTGCGGGCAAGATAATATGAAGCTGTTGTTCTGATGTGTTGATGACAATGAAGCTCCATACATCAACAGAAGCGGAAACATCTTGTCTCTTATAGCCTGATGGTCTGTAGGTTTCAAGTCTACTTCAACTACTTTACAGCAAGAGAGAGCAAGAATCCTCCTGCATGTCAGATCCATAGAATTCGTCCGTCATTCAAGCCACTCGGCGATAGATGTCTGGTAGTGGCCTATCAATGGCTTGTACGGCACGGAGATTAGAATCAATAGGTCCATGCCAAGTGATGCCAAAGATTTCTTGCCGCAAGTTCTTTTGTTCGTCAAACTTGAGGGGTTGAACTGTGATCAGTGATGAAGAGATGCTTCCGTGATGGTCTCTGGTGTAAGTGAAGGTGGTGTTAACGCCGAAGGATTTGTGGAGAAAATGCCGACTATCGGGGATAGGCGATGTGGTCCACTCGTTGGAGATTAGAGTGCATGGACTGGGACTAAGGTAAGACTAAGATAAGTTCCTCAATGATTGGACCTCGCCGTCAGCCAGTCTTTTGAGAGCTGACGTTGATCACATACCTCAAAAGAATGTTTGCGTCGACGGGCTTGGCTTTACATGCCGGTGCTGAGTGTCGAGAGCGATGTTGACATCCCAACCCCAGAATTCCTCTAGCGTTTCCCAGGCGGCGTGCGGAGCGGTGGATCTGGCTCCGTGAGTGGAGCCTCCCTCGGCATATTTCCACCTCGACCACCAAATGCCCCGACCACTCGGCGGGGACCTCGTGGGACCTGAGTCGCATTGCATCTCAGGGTCTTTGACAGAACACATTTCTCCCCGCCCAACATGGCGGCGGTCGCAACCTGAACACATTGCGCAAAGAGAAGCCGTCGGGCGCGTACCTACCGAACAACCCAGATCACAGTCCCAGAGCAGCATGAGCCTGCTGCGCCCGACCTGGCCGCCGTCACCATAATGGGTCTTCTGAACTCCCTCCCGAAGCTACCCCTCGTCGGGTCGATCCTCATAGTCCTCTGCTCGCTCTTCACCCCCACGACCGCCTACACCGAACTCGGCGACGAGGCCCTCCGCGCGATCCCCTCGGGTGGCGATGGTTTCAACATTGACACCGGCTCGCTGCTGGCCCCCATCCTGATCCCCCGCGTCCCCGGCACCCCAGGCTCGCTCAAGGTGCAGCAGCACTTTGTCGACTTCTTCCGCGCCAACCTGCCCGAGTGGATCATTGAGTGGCACAACTCGACTTCCAAGACGCCCGCGACCGGAGATAAGGAGATACCCTTCACGAACCTCATCTTCCGCCGCGACCCGCCGTGGGCCAAGGGCGGAGATGTCGAGTATCTGACGCTCGTCGCGCACTATGACAGTCTATACCACCCGGAAGGGTTCATTGGGGCGATTGACAGTGCGGCGCCTTGCGCGATGCTGCTTCACGCGGCGAGGAACATTGAGGAGGCTCTGGTGAAGAAGTGGAAGGCAATGGAGGCCTCAGGTGACGCTGGGAGCGGGCTTGAAGAGGAGAAGGGCGTCCAGATCATTCTGCTTGATGGAGAGGAGGCATGGGTGTCGTGGACGGACACAGACTCGCTCTATGGAGCTAGGTATGTTGGGTGGATCTCTGCGTAACAGGTCTGTCTGGTTAACATTCTCTAGGGCGCTCGCCAAGAGCTGGGAAGACTCTGTTCACCCTGATGGTCTGTACAAGACTCCTCTTTCGTCCATTAGCCTCTTCCTTCTTATCGACCTTCTGGGTGCCCCTAATCCCCGGATACCATCGTATTTCCCTTCCACGCACTGGGCGTATAAGAAGATGGCAAAGATTGAACATCGCATGCGCGAACTGGACATCCTAGAAACCAAGCCGAAACATCCCTTCCTGACGGACTGGAACAAAGAGAAGGTGGGCTTCGGTGGTGGGTACGTCCTAGATGACCACGTGCCGTTCTTGCAGCGAGGTGTCGAGATCCTGCACATTATCCCGACGCCGTTCCCGGACGTTTGGCATAAGATTGAGGACGATGGTGCCCACCTGGACCTGCCGACAGTAAGGGATTGGGCGCGTATCCTCACGGTTTTCGCGGCAGAGTGGATGGAGTTAGATGAGCACCTATCCAAGCAGATAGAGGGTGAGGCTGCTAGCGATTCGAGCGACGTCAAAGATGAGCTATGATTTATATAGTTTGAAGCAGTGCATTTAGACCACATAGATAACCCTCCACTTTCGCGATCTCATAGCAACAAGTTCGTCTATGCCCCAAGGTAGAACAGGCTTCATGACCCTATTGCAATCATTGTGTCTCCAAATTCCTTTACAGATATCGCCTCAAAATCTCCAACATCAGCGAGCCCTGTCCATACCTCTTATACTAGTTTAGCAACCTCAAAGCTGGTTCATTGAGAACATCTTTTCGATATTCTTAGCCTTCAAGGTATGCTAAAGGATGAGATGCCATTATCGATACTGTACAAAGCACGGTGCTAACAACAAAGACACTGTCGACAGGGTCCCACTATGGATGGACCGTGCACGGTCGGTAGTTCGTAATGGACACGAAAGCTGTCCATAAGTGAACGGCCTGTGATGTGAAGCTCCCACGCCCAAGCCAAAGCTGCCACAGACAAGCACCCTCAGCAGCACAATGCGATTCCTCAACTCCCTGACGCCAGCCCTCGCGCTGTTTGCGGCCGGTGCCGCGCAGGCCGCCTCATCATGGGGATTCGACAGTGCCACCGTCTCAATTACTGGCAAGGGCAAGGATGCCACCAAGGAGAAGTGAGTTGCTGCCATTTACGCTTCCTGGAAGCTCTGGGGTGGGAAGGAGGAAGGAAGCCGCGATGCAAGAGAACTTTCAATTGCTGACGAATTGACCCCCCAACAGGCTGAGCGCGACATCCCCCCTAAAAACTGCCCTCTCTCTGGGAGCCAAGGATACTCTGAAGGTCATCTTGACGGCCAAGGAGGGTGACAAGGCCAAGCGCCCGCACCAGGCCTTCTTGATCCTCAAGGAGACCGAGTCTGGCCTCGAGGCCCCCTTCCCTCTTGAGCTTAAGGACACCGGCCGCGGCGTTGTCGATATCGTACGTTTCCCATTTCCCTCGAATCCTCAATGGCAAGTAACGAAAGCTAATTGTCGTAAACTACAACAGGCCCAGAAGGACCTCCCCGTCCAGCTCCTCCTCGCCAATGAGCCCCTCAAGGCCAGCATCGTCATCGGCTCCTTCGGTGCCGCCAAGGCTCTCGAATCTACTCTCTTTGACGTCTCTGTGAGCCGCGACGCCAGCGCCGCCGCCCCGACCTACGACGCTCCCCTCCGCTACGGCAAGCAGCCCGAGATCAGCCACATCTTCCGCGAGGACCCCCGCAGCCCTCCCAAGATTATCTCGCTGGCCTTTGTCATCGTCGTTCTGGCCACAATTCCTGTTCTCCTTATTGGCGTAAGTGTTTATCCCTTCATGTTTCCGTTTTCAGTTGAAAGGAACAATGTGTCCTGTAACATGGAAATGTAACCTTGACTGACTTCCCATTCTGCAGTGGCTTTCTCTCGGCGCCAACGTCAACCACGTCCAAAAGGCCCTCGGTGCCGCGCCTCTCTCCCACGTCGCCTTCTTCGGATCCATCCTCGCCATGGAGGGCGTCTTCTTCATGTACTACAGCGCCTGGACCCTCTTCCAAACCCTGCCCGCCGTCGCCATCGTCGCGACCTCCATCTTCCTGAGCGGCACCAAGGCCCTTGGTGAGGTCCAGAGCCGTCGTCTCTCCGGTCAGCGGTAAATGCTGTTCTCGTAGGAGGAATGCATTTTCTCAAAACAACAAAACATGACCATTCAAGGAAGTGTGGATAAAGGTGGCAAGGCAATGAGGAAACGGCCTCGAGGTTTGCTCACCAGGTCATGTCACGGGCGGTTCAGGTTTTGGCACGAAAAGTTAAGGGGGCCTTAGATGGGGTGTGGAGGAAAGAGAAGCCCCAATTGTACATCAGCATTCGTCACGACAGCATCCAAGCATCTGTGAATTGGACACAAGACCAAGAGTCACATAAAAAGGGTGATTTCGAATCATGAAAATGAATATTTGAACCATCTATCCCTAAAGTACCTGACGCCACGCTCGCTCTACTCATCACACAAAAGAAACCAACAAACAGTCATCACTAATAGCAAACGCCGGATTTCAATCCTTCTCCTGACGCTCCTTCTCATCACCATTCCCCAAAACCTCCACGCTCCGACTCGCCTCAACGCCAACATTCAAAGACGAGGGTCCGGCAGCAGAGTACGCAGGCGGCGGCACATCATCGCCCGTAGAAGCCCGCCTCCTCTCCCCGACGCCCTCCTCCTGCCCAGACGACGGGCCACCACGGGACATGTTGTTACTGGCGTTGTTGTTGAAATACCCCTGCTGCTGCGGCGGCTGCTGCTGATAAGGCCCAGCGACGCCCATGAACCCAGCAGTATCATACCCGTACCGTCCCCTCCTCCCACCGCGCTGCTGCGCCCTCATGGCATAAATTACAGCCTTCCGCTCGTCGCGCGCGGCTCTGCGTTCGCGTTTGGCCTCGCGGCCTTTACCGAAGGGGAGGGCGACTTTGCAGATGCCGCAGGGCTGGCCGTCGGGTCCCGTGTGGTTGTGGCCTTCGTGGGGACCGGCTGCGGAACCGGGGGCAGCACCGCCGCCGGGGGTTGTGACTGAGGACTGGTTATTGTGGTTGTGGCCGTAGGGGTTCCGGCCGGCGGCGGCGTGGACTACGGTTGAGACGAGGCCGGTGATGAGACCCATTGTGTGGGATAGAGTGCTGCCTTGCTTCTGAGGTTGAAGATTGGAGGCTGGAGAGCTTGTTGACGGATCTTGTTACTGGTTGTGGCTGGTAGAATGGACGAAGACTTAGTGATAGATGTGCTGATATGCTTCAGATGATGGATCTGTGTTGGTCTACTTGAGGAAAGATCTTCGAAGTGTGTTGTCTAATGATGTTTGATGCTTGGTGATGCTTGATGCTTGATGCTTCTGGTGCTCTTCCAAATACAAAACTCCAAATCATCAGGAACGTTCCTCCCCTTTATATCGAGTTTCCTCCAAAGCACAATATCAACAAAGAGGAGGGGGGTACTGCCACCCATCATTACCATCTCGATTCCCACAAGCCCATATGGGCGCCCTCCAAGCTTTCTTCCCCCATTTGGAAGTCGATTCGAAAGCGTTTCCCCAGAGCCCCAGAGGCGCACGGCGTTCTGGCGTAGCGGGCAGGACAGCAACCCCAGCAGCGAATCTCCTGCCAAGCCACGGCAGCCATGTGGGGCCAGCCCGGCACCGTGCTGCCGGATCCGCCCAAGTTCAAGCACTCGAAGCGGCCCTCGCGAACCCCGGGGGGTCCCCTCTTTCGATCATAGGTGCGAGGTGTTGGTTAGCCTCCTGCACTCCTCCGAAGTCTTCGACTACCAGGCCCCCTAAATGGATGGCTGAGCAGCCACGCAATGGAGATTGGAAGCTGCTGCGGGAAGGGGGAAGGATGTCAGCATGTCAGCATCGTTCGCACTCGGCTAAGTGACCAATGATGGCTGATTTGGTACGATCTTAGCGTGGTCAGGTACGGCGCAGCAGTCGTAGTCTTCATAGCGTCCCGCGGGTAAGACATCCTTGAAAGTAAGGTAGTGGGGCAGAGTGAATGGTGCCTCATTAAGTACGGTGTCGCCGGTTCAGCCAACAAGCATTCTCGACCACGATGGTTACTGAAATGCGAATGCGGAGAGGTACGAATACAAAGGAGGAGTGTCCAAAACGAAGGCCGGCGTAACCGGCCGGCGGCTTTGCCATGCGTGCGTATGTACGAGAAGAACTTCTTCGTCTATACTCGTGAGCCAAAAAGGGCAAATAGCTAGAAAGCCAAAAAATGACTTCATATCATGCATATCTTCATCGTCGCCTCGTCTACCGCTATGGCTCGTACGTTCCGTTGGACGCCGCTACGAGCTCCCACCAAGCCCGCATCAAAGCCATTCCGCCGTTCTGCGTCTCCGGGGTCCTACCACGGCCACGGTCGTTCGGATCACCGGTCGCTGCCGTTGACTTCACGTGCCGTTCGGATCCGACCTCGTCCGCTTTATGAGATCCCTGTCTATCAGAACCGCCAAGAACCTGCTGTCCAGAGTGTTCGTCATCACCGACCAGGACGTAACCCTTCTTCTCATTCTTGCGCGCCTCACCGTTTGGTGCCCATACCTCGTCCGGGTTATCATGGGCCCAAACGCCATCATGCGGAAGCCCATAGTTACGGTAATCGGTCACGTTGGGTGCGTCGTGGGGAATACCGTCCGTCTGCATTGTTGGCGCACTCTTCAGGAAAATGCCTGCTCCCCACCACGTACCGAAACGGCCTTCCCTGTCCTTAGTCAATAAGGCCGCTTTGGCATTGTGCTCAACCCATTTCAGATAGGCCTGGCAGGCCGATGCGTGGGTCGTCTTGACTTGATCATACGCCCTTGCGTTGACAGTCATGCCGCGCTCAACGATGGCGGCGTCGAGTGGCTGGCAAAACGTTACAAAGTGATGGAAGAAGATTCCCTTGAAGGTTTGCCCGTCCTGGGAGCAGGTCGCGCTAGCGTCGCAGGTTTCTTCCATGACACCTCCTCGGCCTAGGCCTCGCCAGGGAGGCAAGTAACCCGGAGGGAGCTTTGACAAGTCATCAAGTGGCTTGTTGAGCCTCAAATCCCAACCAGAGGCTTTGATTACGTTTTGGATCAGCCTGTGCCCATCTTCCAGGTAAGAAGCGCTGCCTGTGGCGGCAAATAGGCCTCTTTGGCCAGTCAAGAGCACTCCCTGATTATAGGTGAAGACAGCTTCACTGCGTTGATCACATTTGGTGTTGCCCGGTTTGGATCTATCAACGTGATAGCCGTCAACGTAGAGACCGGCATGATTGGTCATGTTGACGCCAGTGAGCCATCTGTAGCCTTCAATGGCAGCGGCGAGGTACTTGGGCTCTCGTGTGGCCTCCACACCACTGGCGCGGTTGATCCATGGCGTGGTGTTGTTATCACCGGGAAACCAGAGGTACATTGAGATCGAAGCCGCAATCCAGAGTTCGTTCGTGATGGCGTTCTTGTAGGGCTCCAATCTTGGGTTCCAGTTCATACCGCCGTCGCAGAGTCGTGTGTCCCACCCCTTGGACCCAAGGTCCCAGAAGATTCTGGCTCGGTGAGCAAAAGAGGGTATCCAATATTGCCCATGCCAGGGGCCGTTTGCCAAGGCATCTCCCAGGCCTGGGGTTGCGCTCTCGTTGAGACCTTCCCGGGGATAGAAGAGCTTTGAATGTATGTCAATAAACTTGATGGCGTCGATCCAACCAAGAACAACCCAAAGAATGTCGTCGAATGCCTATGTATTGGTCAGCATGCGTTGCTCGGTGGTGAGTTTGATGGGACACGGAGACGCACTTGATGGCGGATCGCGACGTCGTCCTGGCCAAAGTATGAGGCCACTAATTGAGTGAAGAAAGTATCAATGAGATTTCTTTTGGCTCCCTTATCACCGCTTCCACCAATATCGAGAACAGCCAATGCTTGCGAGAGCGAGGTCAACGAGCCCGACAGCATCGTTTCCATGACGGCCGCGGTCCAGTCGATGGCCTCTGGCCATGTTCCCTGATCCGATACGAAGAAGTCATGTTGCATTACAGTAAGAGCTTCGAAGGTGGCCTCGAGTGGCTCGTCTTTGGCCTTGGCCGTGTAAGCAGTAGCTTCTCTTCCAACCTGGGGGGTTTCTAGGAAGGAGGCGGGCTGTCTCGGTTCGCAATCGGTCGGAGGCTGGGTTTCGGCATAGAAAATGGGGCAATACGTCTCGGGCGCATTCGGAGGAGTCGCAATGAGGGCTGTCGCGCACGAAGAAAGCGCAAGCACCGAGAGGCAAGCCTCGGGCAGTCGAGGGATTGATCGAGGCATGATGGAAGAATCGGTATCAAAACAAAAAAGATAAGACAGCTCAGTGGATGATGGTGAGCAATCAGCTCTAGAAAAGGCCGCTCATGTATAGAAGCGCTCTGCCATGTTCAGAAGGACTTCGCAAGCGCCGAAGCGGGAATTCGACGATGATAATATGCACGAGGAATTGGCGAAGTCGAAGAGAGAGGGCACGCGACGAGGGAAGATGCGGAGGAACTATGCGATGCAAGCAGCAATACGGGAAGCCAGTGGAAAAGCTGGGGAAGAGCAAGACAAACGGCGACCGGGCGAAATGCGGGAAGGAAGCGAGCGATGGCGCAGGGCTCTTTGGCGATGGACGGCCCAGAGTCGAGGACCAGGCCAAGCCCGTTTGCGCAGGAGAACCTTGGAAAAAAAGATCCACCTGCACGAGGCAGATGGACCCCTCAAAGTCCCCTCAAGACTCTAGTGGTCACAGAATGGCGCACCGAGAGGTCACAGAACTGACAGAAGTGGGTGGTGCAAGCGGTGCGTAGTGGTCACCTCCCACCACTCCCACCATCCACCATCCCTCGGAAAGGTGGCGGCGTCGGCCACTAGAACAAGTTCATGCGGGGCATTTCTGGCGGCGCCAAGACCCTGCGCTTTGTCCTGTCAGTCTGTCACTGCTCTTGCTGCCCTGGACGGGAGAGAATCGGTGCATTTGCTTTGCCGATCGAGTACGGCTACCCGATGAAGAAGACCTGGGTTGCAGAAAACAAGCTGATGTAACCTGCTTGCCTGCTCTGCTACTATCATTGCCATTTGTCGAACGAGCATTCTGCGTAGTAGGTCATTGGAAACTTGTTTGATTTGGCCTTCTCTACTATCAACGGCAAGGCAATACGTACCTTACACAAGACTAACCAAGTACCTTACCTTGTGCATGAACGGTCCCACGATTTCCAGCCTCTTCGGCGGTGTAAGGAAACCAACGCCCACGATGGCATGGCACCGCCCAAAGTCGACGTGATCACCTGCCGGTATCTGGCGACCAAGTTGGCGGACCTGGTGACTCGCGTCTTGTGCTCACGGACAGGACCAAGAGCAGTCACATCCTCGAGCAGATTTAGATGGTTATAGAGGCTCTTCAACTTCGAAGCAGCGTCTCCCTGACTCAAGGAATTACCTAGGTAAGATACGGATGAGATGTCTCGGGTCATGGGACATGACTTTGAAATAGGAATGGAAGACGACGGCCGTTGAAAAGTGCCGCGAGTGCTTGAGCGAGTCGGGGAATGCATCGCTAGGGTGAAACGGACCGAGTCGGTCTGTTGGAGATGCGTTGAGATGTGCTCGACCGTGCTAGAATCTGTCTCAACCGCCTTGCGCCTACCTGCTGAATAATGTTGTTGTGAGCGGTAGAAGTCGAAGAAGGGTGTTCCCGTTCCTCATGTTGGTGTCTTATTCAGCACCACGACTAGCGGAAACTCTAGGTGCCTTCCACGTGTCTTGCCTCACCGAGTCTATAATAGGTCTCAAGTGAAGGCAGCGACGACTGGCTCGGTGTGGAAGGCGGAAGTGTCTCTTCACCTTGGCGAAGAAGATGGATGGCTGACGTAATGACGGAAGAAATAACCGAGTGCCCTGCTTTATTAATTGATTGACCTTGCCTTCCCTACGTAAAGTTCCGATAATATTCAACACAACTTCGAGCTACCTGTATTCGTATGCGAACTAAATTAAACGTATGTCTAAACACATACAGATGTTAGATGAAAATAGAAGCCTCTGTCAATTTGACTTGGCGGTTTCCCAACCCTGTCTTGTGCGAACAAGAGAGCGCGTTTCTTTGTCCCGCGCAGGCCAACCAGCACGCGTTTCCAGTTGCAGAGGGCTAGAAGCTGGCGACCTGTTAGTGATGATTCGCCCAGCAAGGGCACTGAGCTGGGCTGGGGGGAGGCAGGGCTGCCCCACTAACATGCACTGACGCCCACGGCCAATCGCCAATTGTTTACGCCTGCAGCTCCGAAAGTAAACAAACCGATCCCTGCACTTCCACACTAGGACGCTTCATTCCTCTCCATCATTTACTTAGGTTGTGAACTTCATCATACATCACAGCTTCTTCTGTCTTTTGTCTAGCCATTGTGCGCGCCTCTATGCCTTGGGCACCTTTCTCTTGCTCGGTATTGCTTCGATTCAGCCTTGCCATCTAATTGTCTCCGCGACATTGGCTATTCGACGCGTCGCCCTTAGCCATTGCGGCGCCATCGTGAATCTACTGTTTCTTCTCGACTCCCGTCCCGGAAACCGCGCCCGACGCGTCCCAGGGCAGTCATGGAGGCCGACTCAGCACACAACCGCTACCGTTCTCGCATTCTGCGGGAAATGAACGCAAACCGCGACAACCCATTCAACTCTCCGCCTTCTTCGACGGGCTCCCACGGCACCGTCAGCCCGACCATGTCCTCTGTTTTCTCAGAACCCGACGGAGAATCCACCCGCAGACTCAACGAAGATATTGCTCGGATTATTGGTCCTACTGGGGGCAAGATCCAAGTAGACTTGGACGCTGCCCACCGCAAGTGGCCCGAATTCTACGCCAAGCCGAAGGCCAACGTCGAAGCAAGACACAATCACCCCGCTCCCAAGCCTACGGGTTCATTGCGTCACAAGGACACCGTCTCCCATAAGGCTATTGTCCAGAAGTATCTGTCCAACATGGACGACGACTCCACGGACATGACTTGGCAGGGTTCTAAGCGGACGCGTGCTGAAATGCAGCCCCGCGTCGAGGACAACGAGTCCGATATGTCAGCCAACATATCCAAGTCACCTTTCCGATTCGATATCAATGCCGACAGCTTCAAGTTCAACCCTCAACAGCAGATGAGCCGTAGTCCCTTGTCAAGAGGACACGCTCGATCAGCATCTGGCAACCACAAGTCAGCACGACGATCTTCCTACGCCGCCAACACTGACCGACGGAAGTCAGACTTCCTGGCTCCCCCCACACAAGCCACCCCGAGGCAGACCGCTGCCGACAATGTCCCTACGAATAAGTCTACCCCTGTCACATTCAACACGATCCGAAGCACGTTCCCTTCGCCTGCCACTACCGATAGCCCGGCACAGAATGGCGCCACGTCACGCTCTTTCTTCATGCCCGATATCTCTCACCTCAACGACTTCATCTCCGGCAACTTGCGCTTCAATGGGGCAGTGAAGAATGGCGTCCCAGTCTTCGTGAAGAACGGACAAGTGCGGGACCGCATTGATGCCTTGCCGCCCAATGACCATGCCGAGGTGGACGGCCTTGCGATTCCCGAGGATGAAGAGAAGATATTCGTGTCCATGGATATGATCCGGAACGAGATTTGCAATCTTCAGGAGCACGATGATTTGGTTCAGCAGCATGCGGTAGAGCTCGAGAATCAGGTGGACCATCTTCAGACCGAATTGAAGCGCATCAAGGGCCGCAAGTCTATCGATAGTGCCCTCGGATCCCGGACAGGCTCAGAGCCGGAAACGGCTGGCGAGGAGCGCTATCAGACACAGAAGCTGAGTGAGTATCATGAGACTGCTTGTTGAAATTCCATCTAACCAGTGACAGAGTTGGAGTCGCAGGTAACATCTTTGCAAGCACGCTTGGACCAGGCAAGCACCCGGCTCGGCATTAACGAGGTCGAAAATAACACCTTGTCTTTGGAGCGAGACCGGGCTTTAAAGAAGCTTTCTGACGCCTGTATGCAAATCGGCGATCTCATGGATCAACTCGAGATCAAGGGAAGAGAACTCCACGAGACCCAAGATAAGCTCAACGCCACTCTGGAGTTAACCAACCAGCAAGAGGTGTTCTGTCAGGAGAAGCAAAGCCACGAGGTCCGGTCCGCCGAAGGCAAAGCTCTTCAGGAAGAGAATCAGACCATTCGCAAGGAACAGGAAACTCTGCAACAGGAAATGGAGTCTCTGCGGACAGACAACAACTCTCTGAGACGCGAACAAGAATCTCTCATCAACGAGAACAGGTCTTTGAGGGCTAATGCGCGATCGCTCATGTCCGAGAACGAGGAGCTTCGCCAGACCACGACCAATGCCAAGGAGGATCTCGAGGCAGCCCGCGATGAGGTCGAAGCCTTGCAGGTTGAGCTTCACACCATGGAGCAAGAGAAATCCACTCTCAAGGAGGACAACGATAGCCTCGTTCGCCACAACGAGAAATACTTCAACGAGAACAAGATCCTTCGCCGCGAAAACTCGGGTTTCGAGCGCAGCATTCACGACCTACACGACGAAAACATGCAATTGAAGGAGGAGATTGAGTTCCTCAAGCAGCAGCTCGATCACTGCCGTCCTCTCGGAAAGACGGATGACTTTTCCGTGCGTCTGGATAAGGAAGTTGACGACGAGGAAACTGAGGAGAACATGACTTCGGCGTTCTTTATGCCGGACATTACGATTGACAGCACACAGAACTCAAGGGTTCTTGATTTCACTCCTGAGCCGAAGAAGATCCGGAGGCAAGCGACGCCAGGCAGGAAGGCTGCCGAGATTCAAGACACCACTGAGCAGACAGATCGCAGTGTTAATGAGCTCGACAACACTGTTCAGAGTCAACAGAGTTCCGTCGCAGCCGAGGGTCGTTCGAAGAGACGAGACTCCACCCACCGTGCGCAGGACTCGACCAGTCAGCAGAAGGTGTCCTTCTCTCTCCCTGAGCGGTTGGCAGCGAGTTCCAAATCCAAGAACACGAAGGAAAAGAGCAGTAAGGCCTCCAACACTGCCAACAAGGGTAGCAAGAGGAGCATCTCTGCCCAATCCACTCCCAAGAAGTCTCTCAAGGGGGCTTCTCTCCCCGATCTCGACCCGTTCCAAGCCGATGACGAGGGCAACATGCAATCGCCCGAGCACACCCAGACGCAGACTCACTCCATGGTGATCGACATGAAGACGAAGAGCAAGAAGGAGTCTCGTACTGTCCACCAAGAAACAACGAACACCACCCGGAACTTGACTAGCCAGAGCCAGAAGTCATCAAAGTCCACGGCAAAGCCTTCCAAGGACAAGTCCATTACCGTCGATCTGATCACGCAGGGCGGGCTAGACCACACCTCGACTACTGATGTCAAGGGCAACTGTCCTGCTTTGACCTCCGACGCTCGACGTGTCCTGGATAGCTTGGCCGGACATAGCTGTAAGAACTGCATTGTGTGCACTCGGATCAAGGCTCATCGTGGAACGATCACTTCTGCCGACATTGCAGAGGGAAAGAAGCGAGTGAAGATCTCTAGGCCTGTTGCTCCCTCGGATCAGTATAAGACGCTGGGCAGTGCCGCGGACGACCTCACAATGCGTCCTTCTCAGCCTCCTGGACATGCTTTGGCGAAGGTCATCAAGGGTCTCGAGGATGAGCTGGAGCACATGAAGATGGATCACGCCAAGATGCAGGCTCGATACGATAACCACAACCCTGCTCTTGCGGAGACGAAGCGCAAGCAGCTCAAGACAAACATTGACGCCAATATGAACGCGCAAGAAGTCAAGAACGGCCAAATCTACGCACTCTACGATGTGCTCGAGGGACAGAAACAGGTTGGACAGGATATGTCGGATGAAGAGCTCGACTTGACTGTCTTCAGTATTACCGGATTGAGTGTCAGGGACATCACTGACCAACTCACTTGGGAGGGCATTCAGGGTTAGGATCATGGCATGGCTTGACGCTTGCACTATGAGCGAGGCGTTGCCCTTGTATGGCGTTCTGGGTTGTATGTTGCAGATATCAGGTTGTTGGACGGGAGGATGACTCTGGTTCGAGTCACTCAGGAGAAGGAAATTGTCACAAGTTTTTGTTTTTTTTTTGCTCTGCTTCATCATTCTGGTCCGCATTGTATATATACCAGGCCTTCGAGGACAGCAGTTTTGTTGGCGGAGAACAATCGGAAGGGATACCCCGTGCCATTATCATACTCTGACTCTACTGTGCATGTGATATTGAACCGCTCGCCCCCTTTCCTTGGAGTTTACCACCGCGTCTCTTGAGAAGTTGAGATGCTTGGGGTTGACTGACGGAACCAGCTTAATCAGCGATTTTGACGCCAAGAGAAAGCTCGCTGTGAACTGCCCAATCGGGAAGTGATCTGCAGACTAACACGGACTGTTGGCACTATCGTCGGCTTCGATGTCTGCATTGATGCTTTGGCTGTGGCTTGACAATCATTCTGCTTATAAACGTGGAAGATTATGTCAGTCCTGAAGATATCAGACCCTCGTTGATAACGCCTGATGCTGATCGATAAAGATGCCTTGTTTGGAGACCGAGAGAGAGCGTGTATAAAAGGGTGGCTTCCACCATCTTCAAAAGCCCAAAGATCTTGAGCATCAATAGACTCATAGCAGCTATACAATTTCCTTGCTCTCGGTATCAACCCTCCTCCGTACCCATCTTCAACCATACACGCCTTCCAAAATGCGTGTCGCCATCGCAGGTTCGGGTGCCGTAACCCGCTACTTCGCGGAAGAGCTCCCCGCAATGGGCATCGACCTCGTCATCCTAACTCGCTCTCTCAAACCCGAGCTCGAAAACATCCAGGGCGTCCGCCAGTTTGTGACGGATTACTCGGTCTCCTCGATCCTAGAGGGCATCGAGGGCTCCGTCGCCCTGGTGTCCAATATCCTGGACTACTCCTCGGCTTTTATCGACGTTCACGCGCGTCTCATCGAGGCGGCGAAAGCCAGCAAGACGTGCAAGCGCTTCATCCCCGCCGAGTACGGCGGTAACCTAGAGGATTTCCCCGACCAGCCGGGCTTCTACGCCCGTCGGCAGGGGGTCGTCCGCAAGATGCTGGAAGAGCAGCAGACGGGGCTGGAGTGGACGCTACTTTCGACCGGATGGTTCATCGACTATGTCGTGCCGCGCCGTAATCGCTACCTCTACGACGGCGGGGACGCTATTCCCGTCAACCTTGCGGGTGGGAGCATGCTGATTCCTGGGACCGGCAAGGAGCCCCTGGATATGACCGCCGTTCGGGACGTGGTTCGCGCGGTGGGCAAGCTTCTCTTTGCGCCGAGCTGGGAGCGGTATACGTACATCTCGGGAGGGAAGGCGACCTGGAATGAGATTGTGCCGTTGATTCGGGAGAAGTATCCGCAGATTAGTGTGCGATATCGCAGTCTGGCTGAGTACGTTGAGGATATCGTTGCCAACCCGGACCCGAATGGCGAGGAGCGGATTATTGCGGAATACGGTATTTTCTCGGCCAGTCACGCCGGGGATCTGCCTGTCGAAAAGGTTGCTGCTCACCGCGAGAAGTACTTTCCTGGCGTCAAGTTTAGGACCGCGAGGGAGTTGCTGGCCGAGGTTGAGAAGGACCCTGATGTTATCGTTTAGGGGTAAATAGGCTAGGTGCTTCTTGGAAACAGGAGAGGAAGGCATGATTAGTCTTCACGGAAAACTGTCTCAATAGAGGATCACATCAAAATCTGGCATCTGTGAAAGGACGCGCGTCCAAGGCTCCGGTGAGACATCAGCGGCATCCAAGTCGCGGCGTTTCCAGACCTCTTCGACAGCGAGAAGCAGTGTATCCCAGGTAGCGATCCCAAGTGACTTTCGTCTGGAGAATAGTAATCTTGCCCTATCTCGCAGCTCCGGCGTTCTGGCCTCGAAGGCCACTGTGGCGTAGATCCACGCTTTGGGGCTGCTGTTTTTCTGCAGGGATTCGAGGTGCTCCATGTGGTCGAGACACCTAGCAACCAGATCTTGGACGTCCTCTTCGAGGCCTCGCCTCCCAGAGTTGCCCTTGAAATAGAGTAGGCACGCGTGGTAGAATAGTGAACGGTGGTGGTGCACCATGGCCGACTCCGTATTGCTGGCGTCGTAGTCTACAGAGGGCTCGGGCGCAGACAAGGCAAATTCGATCTCCAGCTGGTCGAGGTCCTCTTCTGCAAGGACTGGGGTCCGCACAAGTTTTGCGTTGAAGGAACAGACCAGCTCGAGAGATCGTACCGGCATAATCTGGCTCTTGGACAGCTCGACATCTGGCAGATATGTCTTCATCGGGACGGGAGCGTCTAGTCGTCCGAGATACTGCGCAAGTACTGTGGCAAAGGTGGAAGCGCAGGACTCGTATGTCAAGGCGGCGGTAGTCGACTGCCTCCAGATTTCAATGCTCGTATCGTCGAGGAGGTCCCGGGTCACCTTTATGACCTCACGCCAGGCGCCCGCAGTGCCGGTGATGAAGTGGGTGAGGATCCATAGGCAGAGAGTGGCCAGGCTCGCCATCCGCTCGTCGTGGTCTCTGCATTTAATGTTTTGCATGAGATGGTGGAAGCTCAGCTGTTTATGCCGGAGCATCAGATCTGCGTAGCCGGCATGGGAGTCGGTGCCTCTGAGGTTCGCCTGGTGGGCCGCGGAGATGGCGCAGACGGCGTGGAACAGAGCGACGGTAGACGTTGATCTCGTCTTGGCGAGGCGGCTTCCCTCGAGAGCCATGGGCGATACAGTCGTCAGAAATGGGTTCGCTGGGCTGCGAATGGGTATCATTCTGTGTGCGAGGTTCGTCGCCCAGTGGTTGATGAGTTCTCTTTCTCGAGCAGGAGCTAATGATGCTTCTAGTGGCCATGCCGGATTACCTATGAGGGGTAGATCCGAGTGACTGGAGGCATCGAAAGAATTCCACCCAACATCCAATCTACTATTCCGAAGTACTTCCAGTCCTTGATCGTATGATTGGACGTTCAGATACGGTAGCTCCTTCCTTGCAGAAATTCTACCAGCTTGCCTGACCTCTTCAATCCCAAGGCGTTGCTCACAAGCCCGGAATGCTAGAGGCGGACCGGTCCTTTGAGCATCAATAGCTGTATATGTATCTTGATACGGCGATTGCGAAAGGTTCTGCAATGAAGAGCTGACCTTCGTCCGCGCTCGACGCCGGCCACCGCTGGTTGATGTTCCTTGTCCCGTAGGTGAGAGCCAAGTCAGTCGTGTACCATATCCCTGACATGTAAACTTGCCAGTAACACAACGCTGACACGCTGGTCGCTGTTCGTCACATTTGACGTGACGTTCGCGACATGTCCAACAGCCTGTGAAAGTTTTCTGTCGCTTGCTTCTGGCGATCTTCCGCAGTGGTTGGTTTGGGGATTCGTCAGTCGCTGGACGCGGGGTCAGCTCGGGTAGCATCTCGCCATTGACAGCAGGTCGTAGCAACTCCAATTCGTTATTCGCGTTGTGAAAGTTGCTCATTTCCGTGGGTACATTGGGTACGGTAGATGACATGAGATTGTGAAATTGGTTATTGCGTTGAACATCTTAAAAGGTAGTATACTAATGAGTTTCCCTGATTATGTTGATTAGTCAGTCGACTTCAGCAAGCGTGTAAGATGAAGAAGCGCTGATACTGCCAACAATCGTACCAAGAGAGTACTAAAAGTTCCGTGGTCAGACCTTTCTGATCAAACAACACCCTGAGACTCAAATTCGACTCTTTCATGTACCTACCTACCTGATCAACGAAGGCGCACTCTTGGACACTCCACTCCAAGAGTTTCTTCCTCTCCTCATTGTGGCATGCCCTCATACACGATTCACAGCAGCCGATTAATGCATCAAGAAGAGATTCATCAACACACCAACTATGCCAAGGGAAGAGTTACAACCTCCTGAGTTTGTGAAGTAAAGGTTACGAGCATCGGGCTGGTCGGCATTACCTCTCGCAAGCTTATGGTGAGGTCCACAGACTTCAGCTGCCTACAGGCCGTGCTTCGCGATGATGCTGGATTGCTGTAACAGGGAATGAGAAACTTGACAATTTGGAGGCGATTGCCATCATTCCCGAGGTTCCTGCAACGTCCCTCTGCACCCAGGTTGTGGCCATTCACTTGTGTTGCGGAAGATCCGTACCTCCGACCTTGAGAAGGGAGCTGAAGCTTTAGCATCATGCCATGTCTGCAGTCACTTGAATGACAATCAGCGTTCACCATAGACGGCATAGGTGTCATGTTCAGCCAATAAAGTGCTCTGTTGATGCCGATCCGACATGAATCATGTGGCAGCCAGCCATCTATCTGGTGCCATGAAAGCAGTGCTCTTTCCTGTAAGACATCAACGAGCCCCAACGGCTGCCTGTCAGGTTCGAAACGTTCAGTGGGTCACGTGAGAGGAAGCTTCAAGAACGTACTCTGTACTCTGTACTATTCTGGCCAATGGAAAAATAGCAGTGCGGTCTCAATTTTCATTGGCTGTTAAATGACGGGATCCACCGAGTGATTGAGGCCAATGTCGCCCCACTTTGCTGCCTTCCAGACACCTATATAATCCCACCCAATCTCCCACCTTTGCCTGGTTTCTGTTTTTTCTTCTTCATACTTACCTTCATGGGCAGTCTGGGGATCAAGAAATCCGGACTGCAGAGAGGGATGCCTGCATTGCACATCGCGGAGTAGACCTCTCTCGATTGTCCTTCGGGGCCATCGCTGTGGCAATTTTTGATTTTCAACCACACTTTTCATTGTATCCATCGCCTTGCGCGATGGTATGAAGAAGAGTCCTACTCGAGTGCTTTCCCTCACCTATGCTCGCTTAAAAGTCCGGTGCCTGTACCTAGCAAGCAGTGGCCTACCTAATGATTTAACTTGACCATGAGGTTCACTGCGGCTCTTGCCACATTGTCTAGCGATGGTGACGGAGCAGTGATCCACGCACGCGCGCTGAATGCATGGCTTCGCAAGTGAGCGGCAGTACCTCAGCAGGCTGACTCTACACGAGTTCTTCGCTGAGCGCACACATCCTTTGGGTGATCTCATGCCTCGCATTTTTAGGAAGGGGCTTCCCATCGAGACCTTCCTTGAAGTACCTATGCGAGACATGCGGATATGTAGCTCGCTGGAAAGGGAAGGCCGTATCTGTGCCCGTGCTTGCTTACCTTTAAAGAGACGGAGGTGAACGGGGTGCCTCTTTCCCGTAGCCTTTAACATGTGGAAGTTGCCCTGGCTGTACCTACCTGCCTCGTATCTGTTTCCGTGCTGAGTCGAGAGCAAAAAAATTGGAACGTCAAGGACAGCGTAAACGTCCCGCGAAGACAGTCGTTTCCTTTTCCCTTTCAGATACCACACTTCGTCAACTCGAGACGCGATTGACACAGTCTCTGACCAGGCCCTCTACCTACAGTCTTCGAAAATGAGAGGTGAGAAATGCATGTGAATTAATCGACGCTTCACTTCACCTTGCAAGGCAATGCCCATCAACGGACAGCCCAGAGTGCGCTAACACCTGGAGCCGAAGGAGAGTCCGTAATGCCAATGAGGGACTCATCATTGCTCATCTTGATTTCTTAGGCCACCCTTCCACCGAGGCTCGACTACAGAAGTCATTCTATGCACATCAGCCTCCCGTGGAGTCATCAATTTAGCCTATGTCAAGCCCCGTAAGATGACGACACCCTCACATTCAGCAGGCACCTTGCTCTTTTGCATCCAAACTCTGAGCCCCGCTTGATATCCCGCAAGTGTCAATAAAGGTGCAGCAGGCATCACCCTTTTCCAAGCAAGAAAGGCTTCTACAGCTACAAGTTCGCGGTCAAGTGCGAACCAGATCCAGTCGTGTAGACAAACATGTCAGCAGGCGCTTCAGCTGGCTGACCTCAGCCGGCCACTTGCGCAAGGCGGCCGGGAAGGGAGATCGTACCCGGCAGTGCTCATTGGACGGCGGACGTAATGTGGGAGTCAGCATCGAGTTGTACACACTTATCACTTCAAATCCTACCTTCTGAATCGAGACATTGGATGACAGGTTTGGGACTTCGCCGTTCTTGGGGGCGGTTTCGAGGATACACTTCAACGGCAAGCTGAATGGCAGCGCGTCCGTATGCTTTCTTATTCGCGGCAGATGCTGACGATTGAGACAAATTCCATTCGTCGTCTGCCTGATGGCGGGATGACATGCTGCTACACGAGGCTCGAGATGCTGGCTTAATGCAGAAACTGCCTTGAACAGCCTCTATGTCTTGGCTGGCATGTGACTGCTGCTCGAGGCTCGCAGGCGGGCGTCAATGTAAGGTAATATAGCTGTATAAGAATGGCATGATACCTATCCGATGAAGGTCCTGTCATGTCCGGAAGTCAACAATCTCTCGACTGACAGCAAACATGAAACCTACAACTAAGAGCCAGGTTCGCCAATCGGCGGAAGACCTTTTCAAGTTCTTGTTCATTCAATTTTGGAAGGTTGTCAACGTCTTTATTGCATGGCACAAACTGCCGGCCATCATTGGCGCCTTCAACGTCCTGGCGTTGCGATTCGAGCTCCGCAAGAAGAATCTCTACGACACATACCCCTCTCCTGAAGATCAAGGTACACCGGCACAATATCCCATGTCTGACACCAAGTTCATGGCCGTCAGAAACTCAGATGGTCTCTATAACGACCTTCAGGCGCCCAAGATGGGCTGCTCCGGGATGCGTTTCGGCCGCAACATCCCCAGAGAGCACGCCAAGATGCCCACTCATGAGGAGCTGTTCACGCCGAACCCGAGACTTATCTCCGAAAAGATCCTCGCGAGACCGGAAGGTGGCTTCAAGCCCGCCACGATCGTCAACCTCCTCGCCGCTGCTTGGATTCAGTTCCAGGTCCACGACTGGGCGCAGCATGCCTCGAGCGAGGAGACTTGGGATGTTCCGATGCCCAAGGGAGACACCTGGCCAGACAAGAAGATGAAGATCTTTAAGACCAAGGTTGACAGTACTCTCTCGAAGCTGGATGGTGAATCGCCGGGCTACAAGAATGAAAACACGCACTGGTGGGATGGCTCCCAGATCTATGGTTCGACTGAGGCTGAAACCGTGGAACTGCGATCCAACTGCCATGATGGGCAGCTTGCGGTCGACCGCGTGAATGGTGAACAATTCCTTCCTCGCGAGAACGGCATCCCCAAAACCGGCTTCCATCATAATTGGTGGGTTGGTCTTGAGATGTTACACACCCTCTTTGCTTTGGAGCACAATGCTATCGCTGGCCATCTCAAGCTGTCGAACCCATCGTGGACGAGTGATGAACTTTTTGACACGGCAAGGTTGATTAACTGTGCACTCATGGCCAAGATTCACACCATCGAGTGGACGCCTGCTATATTGAAGCATCCGACACTGAAGATTGGTATGGAGGCGAACTGGTGGGGGTTGGTTGGAGACAAGGTAAGCCTCTTGTATAAGTCTATACGTTGCAGTCGCTGATGAGGTCGGACAGTTATGGCACGTCTTCGGTCGTATTTTCGACAACAAGTCCGAGGTCATCTCAGGTATCCCGGGCTCAGGAACCGATCAAGACGGCGCCCCATACTCCCTGACCGAGGAATTTGTTTCCGTATATCGTCTGCATCCGCTCGTCCCTGACGATATTGCCTTCTTCAAAGTCAAGAGCGGCCAACACGCCGACACCCTTCCGATGAAGGAAGTCGCCTTCGAAAGGGCCCGCACACCTTTAGACGACAAGAACTCTAACAGCAACGGCCTCGGCTTAAATTTTGCCGACGTCTTCTACTCCTTTGGCGTCAACTACCCCGGTGCAATTCGCGCGAAGAATATGCCAAACTTCCTCCGTGACCTGCACCTCCCCGCAGACAAAGAGTTCCCTCAGGGTAGACACCTCGATATGGGCACCGTCGACATTCTCCGTGATCGTGAGCGCGGTGTGCCGAGGTATAACGCCTTCCGCCGCCTTTTCCATATGCCGACTGTCCGTAGCTTCAAAGAACTGACCGGCCCCGGCCCTGAGGCCGCAAAGTTGGCGGCGGATCTGGAGGAGGTGTACAACGGCGACATCGAGGCCGTTGATCTCCTAGCTGGCACGCTCAGCGAGCCTCTACCCGAGGGCTTCGGTTTCAGCGACACGGCCTTCCGCGTCTTCATCCTCATGGCGAGCCGCCGCATCAAGTCTGACCGGTTCCTCGCCGGCGATGGGTGGTGTCCCGAGGTGTACACGCGGGAGGGTATGGACTGGGTGCAGAAGAACACGATGAAGGACGTGTTGTGCAGACATTTCCCTGAGCTCGCTGCGCCGTTGCGCAACGTTGACAACGTATGTCCTGTTGGCCCTGTCTTTTCCTTATTTACGCAGCTGCTAACAAAGTCCGCAGGCGTTTGCACCGTGGGAGAAGGTCGGTCGGACTGCCGAGTATAAGGGGAAGGAGACTAATGCTTGAGCTATACACCCCTACTTTTTCAAGACTGTGACGTGTGTTCGTTTGGCGGCTTGGGCACAATTTTGACTGTAACTACTACTCAAGGTTTGCGTTGAACAAGGTAAAGTGTGGAAGAAGATGAAAATGTCAGTATGTACCCGGAATTACTGGGGTTGAAACGAAGCCATGTAGGCTTGGTGATTTTGTTTGGAATAAGGGTTTACACGGCTTGATTAATATA